TACAGTAAAGTGCCATTGAATGAAACGTTTAAAACGAATTACCTGAGAGCACTGGGGCAAAGAAAAAATGAGTTAAAATGGAACTCAGCTTAATTGAAGATTAAAGCAGGAAAAACTCGATTAATAACAACCAAGAAGGAGAGATAAGGGAGAAATTATGTATCTTCAAAATTAACAATTCAATGTTACTTCATTTTTCGTGTTAAGATAGACGGAACTATTTTTTTAGAGCAGGCAACTAGAATGAATTAACATGTTCCACTAATTATACTGACAAAAAAAAGGGGGAGAGCTGCAAATAGAAGGTGACAGACGCTGGCTGCAGTAGCAGAGGGCACAGCCTGGTGAAATTCGTCGCGCTCTCTCGACCTGCGATTTGTCTGCCCAATTTCACGGCCCTTTTAGGAAAAATGGGAAAATCTCCCGGCTCTCGACTGCAGTGCCCCCGACTGTGGGAAATAGACTGCGTTTGTTCACCGTTTATATTCGCCACTCTACTTTCACGTGGGTGTGAGAATTCCTTCGTAACTACCTTAATATTGCAAGAAAGCTTCATTTCGAATTACATTGTCAAAAACGTATTAAAAATATTTCTAGTATTCCTCAGTTCTCAAATACTTCTAAATACAATTTAAACGTAACACTTCCATCGAATTGGCAAATTTACCACCGAATCACGGATTAATAATGAAACACCGGATGCAACAATCTATTCTTTATCACAACGTCTGTCTAAACTCTCCGATCTCTCCCGCTTATCCCAAATTTAATTTCACCTCGCCTCTGATTCTAAAAAGGAGTACCTCATTAGTCCACGAAATTTCGTTACGAACGTTTCACGTTTCCATCACAAATGTCACGGAACCATTGGATAAACGCTTCGCGGTCATTTCGGGGCCGAATTTCCTGCAGACAGACGAAAACATCCGCAATCGGGCTATCAATATATTCCGTTCCGTGCCAGTGACTGTTCCAGAACGGATATCCGCGGCGAGGGATTATTAGTTTTCCGCTCTCAGGAGCGGCGTTTTATCCAGCAGCGTATATACACACAGAAAGGGAGAGAGAGAGAGAGAGAGGAAGAGAGGAGTATAGCGAACGTCTAGGCCGTACGTTACGCTCTGGGGGAGCCGCTTCTCTGTCCTACGGTAGGCGTGGTTGAAATCACGAGATGATTTATCCTTTGCGAAGCGGTAACTGCCGAGATCCTCGGCTAAACGACCGCGGTCCTTCGTGTATTAACCGTAATGCACTCTGCCGTTGCCATTGTGCACACTGTATATAACTATAC